AAGCGAGCTTAGTCACAGGCAAGGTCAGTCATTAGGCTAGAACAGCTAGCTATAGGATAGGTTAGTGACATGCTAGGCCAGTCAGGAGCTAGGTCCATCACATGATGGGTCACTTGTAGACTATGTAAGCTGCAGCCTCAGTCAAAGGCTAGGTCAGTCAAAGGCTAGGTCAGTCAAAGGCTAGGTCAGTCAAAGGCTAGGTCAGTCAAAGGCTAGGTCAGTCAGAGGCTAAGTCAGTCAAAGGCTAGGTCAGTCAAAGGCTAGGTCAGTCAAAGGCTAAGTCAGTCAAAGGCTAGGTCACTCAAAGGCTAGGTCAGTCAAAGGCTAGGTCAGTCAAAGGCTAGGTCAGTCAATGGCAAGGTCAGTCAAAGTCTAGATCAGTCAAAGGCTAGGTCAGTCAAAGGCTAAGTCAGTCAAAGGCTAGGTAAGTCAAAGGCTAGGTCAGTCAAAGGCTAGGCAAGTCAAAGGCTAGGTCAGTCAAAGGGTAGGTCCGTCATCAGTCAAAGGCTAGTCAGTCAAAGGCTAAGTCAGTCAAAGGCTAGGTAAGTCAAAGGCTAGGTCAGTCAAAGGCTAGGCAAGTCAAAGGCTAGGTCAGTCAAAGGGTAGGTTCGTCATCAGTCAAAGGCTAGTCAGTCAAAGGCTAAGTCAGTCAAAGGCTAGGTCAGTCAAAGGCTAGGTCCGTCAAAGGCTAGGTCAGTCACACAATCTAAGACCAATGAGAGGCTAGGTCACAAACATGATCAATCAGTCACAAGCTTTCGCAGTCACGAAATAGGGTCAGAATTTGGTCCATCAAAATTTTGGTCAGGCACTGGATGGGTTAGTCACTGGCTAGGCCACTCATAGAAGACATAACTAGCTCAGTCCTAATTTGGAAAATCTTCTCAGCCATTGCATAACGTGTAAATGCATGCGCTTGCCATCGATGCGCAATACGCCTGGAAATACACATTACACTCCGCAGAAATACTACAGGCTGGCTAGAGGACAGCATTATCTTCCCCCAGAAATTTGGCGTCAAAAGCAAAGCACTTAACATTCCTATGGCACACTTCCTCCCCTGTTCATTGGCCACCTCACTCACCATACGGACCACCTTACTGCAGGCTGCAGCTACCTAACCAGCATCTCCTGTTCACACAACTCTGCTGCACACATTCTCCTGCAGCCATTCTCACAACAGCTACCCCTTTCCCTTCATCCGTGCACATATCCTGGCTGTATGCCCATCAAATTAAGATTCAAATTCAATTCTCCTAACCATAACTGAATCCCAACCAAGCACCATATAGCAAATCTGTATTGTTATACATAATTCGGTGTAAAGATCAACAACCGTCATTTACAGAATAGGTCACTCACAGACTAGGTCCGACACAAGCTAGGTCAGTAGGGGGCTAGGCCAGTCACACGCAAGATCAGTCAGAGGCGAAGTTCGTCACTTAGAGACGGCCCAATCCAACAGCTAGGTCAGACAACGACTGTGATAGAGAGAGGTTAGGTTGGTCACAGGCCAAGTAAAAGGGTAGATCAGGCACAGAAAAGGTCATTCAGAGGCTACCCAATGTCACAAGGTAGGTCAGTCACTGGCTAGGTCAAGCACAAGCAAGGTCAAACAGAGGCCAGGTCACTCGCAGGCTAGGTCAATAGCAAGGTAGGTCAGTCACAAGCTCGGTCAGTCAGAGTTCCCATCCATGAGAGGCTAGGCCAGTCAAAGTGTAGGTCAGTCAGTCACAGGCTACGACACTCACAGACTAGGTCAAGCACAAGGTAGGCTTCACACAAGTAAGATTTGTGATAGGGTGCGATAGCCACAGGTGGGTCAATTACAGCTAGGACAGACACAAGCAGGGTTAGCCATAGGTTGGGTCACTTACAACAGCCTAGGTCGGTCCACGACAGGCCAGGTCAGCCGCACACGAGGTTATATACAAACAGTAAGTACGGTTTTGTCTCGACTCGGCCGACTCAAGCGATCACTCGACTCGACTTTTTGTGAAGTGATCATTCATCGAGTCGGCACTCGCCAATCTGGCGATTCTACACACCATGCCTGACTCATCTCTAGTCGACTAGGTTGTCACGGCCATTTCTCGCCCTTACCTGGGTCGAGCAACTTTCTGCTCAGAATCTGTATCTTGGATTTTTCGAGATTCAAACTTGGCCTCAACTCGTTACTTTCTTGAAGCCAAGCTATCCGCTTGTTCGCTAGGTCATATCTACCTTAGCACCTAACCATCAGCTTTAGGTTGTTCCTACCTCGACTCGCGAGTTGACTGGTCAGTCAGGGCCGAGTAGACTCTGAGTCGACTCGAGTCGCCTGTACACATGTCTAGATCAGTCACAGGCTGGGTCAGTTGCCCCATAGATTAGTCACAAGCTGAGGTGGGTCACAGGGTAGGTCGGCCAGGATAAGTGACAGAGTGAGTGTATCAACGATGGCGAGGAAAAGGAGCACGGGAAGGGGGCGGGGCAATGACTTGTTGTCGTGCTAAGAGGGACAAGAGTGCGACAAAGAGTTCTGCTGATTCATGGCGGTGAGCAGAAATCGTAGCGACTCGGTATGTAACCTAAAGTTGCACATTGGCCCCCTCTGATAAATTTACAAGCACCACAATTCATAGGCTGTGAACCTCAGGCTTGAAATGCAGAGGGCCTACCGGGGAAACGAAAGTGGGGCGTACCTCTATTTAAGGTCAACTATCGCGTTTCTGCGACTCTTGAAGTGACTCTGCAGCGCTGCGAAGCAGTTCGAACTCTTGTGCGGCGTGCTGCGTGATGGCGAGGCTTGGCGATTCAAGAGTGCGCAAGGAAGGTAGAAAAAGAGTTGGGCGGCCCGGGAAAAGCGGAGAGGGCACGATGCGTGGAAGATTGTACAGATGGCTACAGAGATTTTGACTTCGCCGTCCGCATTGATTTCGTAGAGGCGATTTGAGACACCTTTCCTCGTGGTGGTAATGTTGCGTCAACAATGCGCGGTGATTGACATAAGCTTGTTGACACATGCTTAGAGTGGGAACGAAACAGGAGGGAGGGGTTTCAAAATATCACTTACTAGCACTCAAATCTCGAGTTCGGCACAAGCGTTGCCTACCAGAACCACAAGAAATTGCGTTTCCCACCAGTTACCACTGCAGATCGACATCAGTTCGCAATCACCCCCAGACGATTAGTTCCGCAAAGCGAAGTGCCAAATATGCAACCGTTGTGTCGATCTCAGTTCGCCCAAGCAACGAATTTGTGTCGCTTCCCGCTTTCAATGCCAGTGCTCTTCTGCCGTCACCTGTTACACACTCGAGGCGACATGACGCTCACGCGCTCATCGCAGAATCCTAGTTGCCAGAGAAGCACTAGTTATCGCACAGCGCGCCGCGTAGCAGCTAATACCAGTCATCCTGCTAGTCCTCCTCCCGTCACGCTATCTTTCCCTTTTTCTACCCCTCGTTAAGAGAGAGATTCACACCTGCTCTCTCGCTTCCCATGTTTCCAAAGCCGTCGTATCCTCTCCAGTAAGATTCACAATCGCGCGTTTCAGTCGCTTGGCGTTTCCGGCGCCTGTTGCGGAGCTCAGAGCCAAGTGCATGCGCTAGTCTCTCAGCACTACGTTTTACTCTTGGAAACCCTAAAACAGGTAAGGCTGGTCTCGTCATAGCATCATTCGCCACCAGCATCTACCCTCGATTGTTACTTTTCTTCACTTCGCCGATTTTTTGGAGTCCTCGAATGCTCCCGACCCTCTGTTTATCGCATTCTCGTATACATGCCTCCCCACCATCGCCCAAAACACTAATGGCTCTCGCCCTGGCGCCTGACGCATTCCCACGCAAGTGCTGGTGGTGGTCCCTAAGGCGCTGGCGCTTAGCTCGCTGGCGCATAACACGCTGGCACCTATTGCAATGGTGCCTAACGCGCTGTGCCTAACGCGCTGCGCCTACGCGCTGGCGCCTAAGGTGCTGACGCCCAGTGCGCTGGCGCTTAGTGCGCTGGCGCCTAACAGCGCTTGCTCCATGAGCGTTGGCGCCTAGAGCACTGGCGCCTTAAGCGGTAGCACCTTAGGCATTGGCAAGTCTTCCTTAGTCCTGTTGTGCACGCCTTAGTCATTGGTGCTAGCGCGTTGGTCCTAGGGCGCTCACGCCTTAGGTGCTGGTGCCTTGGGCACATTTGTGCTTTTGGGCGTTGACCCTACAACGTATGCACCTAGTGCGCTGGCGGCAGTAGCGCCATGGGCGTTGATGCCTTGGGCGATTGAGCCGTGCCTTGGCGCATCTGGGCCTAGAACGATGAGTGTGGTTTAAGTGACAATACCCACATATTAACGTCTCTGGAACATTCTCACTCATTCGTACAAGTGCATTCGCTCATATTGATGACATGTTCGTTCGTACCATCCGTTGTATAAATGGAAGCGCACATCCACCCAGCCGTGAAAAACTCCCGTTTTCGGGTTGGCCCAGATAGCGATAGTAACCAACCCCAGCCAACTCTACCCTACCCTACTCAACCGAAGAAAAGGCAGAGGAGTTTTGGTTTGCTCGCACTCTCTCTCCTGCACCCTCTTGGTCCACTACCTCCCTCCCCCTCTTCCATCTCCCTCCCCGCATTTAACGATCCACCTTCTATTTTTTTCAAAGTTGTGTCTTGCTCACCAACCAACGATGCCCTCTGCTTCCTTGCTCTGTTGTTACTTCTCCCGTTCGACAGATCATTCAACCAATAGGGGCACGTGCGGTGTTCGTAGGTTTCAAGCACTGACTCACTATTTTTAGATTCTCTGGAACGCAAAGCATTGATTCGCTTCAAAACTCCAAGCATTTCACTGAACCGCATACAAGGGAGACATTTTGACGCAGCGGGAACGCGGGATCGGCATGATGCCATGCCAGAGCCACTGACAATCTTACCTTTTGCATCGGCTCGACGCGACTTGACTCGCTTGACCCCCTTGACCTGTGTTGACTGGTTGACCTGCTTGCAACCAACCACGTGCTGCTAGGCGCATCATGCTGCTCCTCGCGATCTCTGCTTGCCCCTCCTTTCAAACTGTTCTTCCCTTGCTGCTCGCTCTGTTAGTCGTGTATCCCGTATCCCTTTGCGGAGCGGAGAGAGCGAACCGGTTTAAATCAGTCACGCGCCTCGTCTTCCTACCTGATAACGAGTACAGCTCAAAATGCCTCGACGGAAGGTGCGTACCTTGGTCGGTTGATTAAGTAACATTAACTCCCTTTTTTTTATGATTGGACCTTCTACTAGGTCTTTTTCCTTCGACCCGCCATTCCTCCTCTCCCATACGTCCAATCGATTCCCTCACAATTCCTTTCCTCCACCCCTCCATCCCCTCCCTTCCCCCACTCCCTCTCCTCTCCTCCTCAACCACCCACCCACCCACTGCCCCCCGAAGTACCCCCGCGTACTACTTCCGCGCTGGGGCGGGCGCGGGGAGGCACAAGTGGCACGTGCATCTGCCCCAGGGCGGCTGGTGCTTCTCGCCGCTCGAGTGCCGCAAGCGCGCCAACTCCCCCCTTGGCTCCTCGCGCTTCTGGGCCACGCGCCTGCCTGGCGTTGTTGAAAACGGCGGAAAGATCAACAATGTGAGTCACAGATGAGATGCTCTCTCTCTCTCTCTCTCTCTCTCTCTCTCTCTCTCTCTCTCTCTCTCTCTCTCTCTCTCTCTCTCTCTCTCTCTCTCTCTCTCAAACGGTCCTTCGTATTGATTCAGCAGAGGTACAAAACATGCAGTGCTATCCATGATAACCTCCATCCCTCAAGCCCCTTAACTCACCCCTCTTCTCCCCCCCCCCCGAGTGACCCTCTAGCCCTCCAGCGTGTGGAGGATGTCCCCCAGGTGCAGCGGCCAGGGGTCCGCTGCCATCTGTGGGTGCGCTGCCTCTTTCTCTCTCACTCTCTCGATTGGTCCTTGTATTCATTATAGGATAGTAAAAGATAGGTAGGTCTCATTGGTCTCGGAGCGAACAGCATTGGCCTGCAGCTGCGTGCGCTGGAGAGTGGCGCTGGAGAGTGGCGCTGGAGAGTGGCGCTGGAGAGTGGCGCTGGAGAGTGACGCTGGAGAGTGACGCTCCAGCACTGGCTGGCGGTACTCGGTGAGTAACTTAGTTGCCACTGTCACACAAAATCGCCAGATTCCAGCTTCCAACCAGAACGGTTCAACAAACAGCGAGTCATAACCTGGTACCCGAGCTCCACGTGTGGACCTGGTGTGGCTCGTGTGCTGTGCTGTGACCGGACGGAGGCGCCTGAGAAAGGCATTCCACCGCAGTGCAACCCACCCAACTCCACCCGACCCCTCCCCACCGTGCCCTGTCCTCAGGCATCCGAGTCGTATCCACAGCTGGGCGGGCTCCTATCACAGGACAGCGCAACCAACCCCTTGTTCCACGGGTGGAACCTGGTGTGGGTGGTGTACTGTGACGGTGGCGCCTACAGCAGCACGCGGGGGAGGGCGGACCTGGGGGAGGGCGCATCGGTGTACATGCAGGGGCGGCAGATTCTAGATGATATTATAACTGGTGGGCAGCAGATTGTAGATCATATAACCACTGGTGGGTGGGGAGGGGAAGGGGGAAGGATAAGGAAGGCGTTGGGGGCCATGGGGAAGAGTGCAAAGGAGGAGTAAGTGGGGTGTGGTTTTATCTGTCTACATGCAGGGAATAGGAGGCGGAGAGGGGATATAGTTGAACAGGAGGGGGAGGGTGGAAGGAGGAGGAGATGGGGCGTGGTTGATCTGTCCCCCTCTTGCCGTTCACCACCCTTCCCCTCCCCTCTCACCATTCATCTTGCAGATCTGTGCACGCAGAGGGGCATGGGGGCGGCATCGCATGTCCTCTTCTCGGGTAGCTCAGCGGGCGGCCATGCCATCATTATGCACTGCGACCGCCTCGCTGCTGCCTTCCCCCACGCCAAAGCCAGCTGCCTTGCCGACTCGGGCTTCTTCGTTGGTGAGCGCTGTGAGCATGAGGGTGAGAGCAGGGTTCTTTGATGCTCACCTACCCTGTATTTCTTGGTGAGCTTCATGCACCGTTAACCACTGTGCTTTGTTGGTAAATTTTCTCCACTTTCCAACTTTGCCTTCTTTTTTGGCGAGCAGTCTCTGGAAACCAGTAGGCACAATTCCCCCTTCTGAGTCATGTCAGTTGTAGCCTTGTTCACCGAAAGGCTTCCTTCCCTGCTCTTCCTCCCTCCTCCCCCCCTCTCCCCCACCTCCCTCGCCCTTGCCCCTCCCTTTTTCCCCCCTCTTCCCATGCAGACGCCAAGGACCGCTTTGGGGTGTACTCGTGGCGGGAATCAATTCGGCAGCTCACTGCTCTGCACCTCATTCAAGTTCCCAAATGCCCTGCAGGTAAAAACAGCATGAAGATACCACCTACCAGGTGAAAACATGTGAAAACAACCATAGACAATTGTCCTTTCAAGGGTGATGGGTGGGTGGGTGGTGGTTGATCTGCGCACTCTTTGGACCCGCCTCTGGTTTTTCCATAGGAGGGCCACATCTCAGTAAGAATTCCTCCTCTCCCTCTTCTGAAGCTACTCGAGAGGCTCTCCTTTTCTCTCCTCCTTTCCCTCCCAATCAGGTGCACAAGCGAGGGACTACTGGGTCTGCTTCTTCCCAGTCACTGCGTCATCATGATGTTGCTCTCCTACCCCCCCCTCCCCCTACCCCCTCCACACACACCCCCTTCCTTCCTGCTTCCGTCCGCCTCAGGATCACAAGAGAGTGACAACTGGGTCTGCTTCTTCCCTGAACACACCCTTACACGGGTCTCCACGCCCCTCTTCCTCTTCCATTCTTTCTTTGACTGGCGGTTCATCCAGTATGGGCAGCAGCTTCCTATCGAAAATCCACAGTACTCGGCCAAGTGCCTCAACAGGCAGATATTACAAAGAAGAGCAAGTGTACTGGCACGGAAACGCACGTGGGATAATGTGAGGTGGAGGCACCACTACTGCTCGCGGCAAGAGCTGGATGCGGTTTTTTCTGTGGGTTATGCTGTGTATTGTCGCCTGGCGGAAGCAGTGCGTAGTGACAGGAAAATGGGTGTATTTTTGGCGCCGGGATCGCTGCACACAACGATGTTCAGTGTTAATTGGTCCTTAACAAGAGTGAGGAGGGTAAAGCTGAGCAGTCTGTTTAAAAAATGGTACAGTCATAGGGGTAAAAGGAGGGGATTGTTTGTGTTTGCATGATATTCAGGGTTGAATAAAATCTGCATGCAGTGTATGATTTGATATTGATAATGCATGGTTACGGAAAACAAAAAGGTTTCTCTTACATGAGAAGGATTCAATTGTGCCAAAGTAAGATTCAGGGTAATTGTAGGTGTGCATTTGTTAGGCTAGGTTGACCTCCTTGACTCCCTCTACCCTGGACTGGTCGGAGCTGATTCAGGTGCACGTGACAAGAGGGGGAAAGGATGGAATGGGAAGGGAATGGAGAGGGGAAGTGGAGGGAATGGGGAGGGAACAAGAGGAGAAGGGGAAGGTAAGAGGAGGGATAGAGAACGTAAAGATGAGAGGAAGGTGGTTGTTACCTGATGTGTGGAAAGAAAGAATGGTACCTTCCATTTCGACCATGAAGTGGTGCCATATGGCACCACACATGCCATGCACATGATGATGCACACACCATGTACATGATGATGCACACACCATGCACATGATGATGCACACACCATGCACATGATGATGCACACACCATGCTCATGATGATGCACACACCATGCACATGATGATGCACACACCATGCACATGCCATGCACATGCATGCATCGCCGCCACCCATCCGCCCACCCACCCCACTCACACTCATAGGGGTGTGCGTTGTGCCTCGTACTCTTGAGGAACATGCTCCTGGCGTCGCTTGCCGCCTCTGCTGCCTCCTTGCCTCGCCTCACCTGCTCTCTTCCTGCCTCAATGTCTCCTTTAGGCCGTGCCACGTGCCCACGACAACACTGTTAGGGCCAATGCGTATGAGCTGTTTCAAACGGGGAGAAATTGGGAAGGACGCGGAGTAGCGGAAGAGGGGAGAAACCGGTGGGGGTGGGGGAGGGGGAGGATTTGAAAGCAGGGCAGCAAGGGAGGCGTGCATGAGCACGCCGATGGACCGAAGCACATTAGCTGAGTGTGAGCGAGAAGGATGGGTCACGGGAGGGATGAGGGGAGGGGAACAGGTAAAATGCCAAGAACATCAATGGGGGCAGGCATGGGAAAGAGCGGGAAACAGAGAAAGGACGGGAGAGAGGAAAAGGAGGAGGACAACACAAGGCAACAGAGGTAATTCACTGGGGGCGAGCACAAGAGAGGCGCACCCGAGAGCCATATCGTGCTGGAGGGCCTCTATGGAGGGTACCGGAGGAGCAGGAGAGTAGCCAGGGGTGACCGGGGGTGCAGTGCAGTGCAGGAGCTGGCGGCTCATGCTGCATACCAAGCACCAACATTGGGTCCAGGTGTCAGGGAGATGGTCAAAGGGGGTGGTTGCAGGAGGGATAAAGCAAGGGAAGATGAGGGAGAGGCAGCTCAGAGCGAGTAGGACGGCCAGGTTGAGGGGGTGAAGGGAGAGGGGGGGAGGAGAGGTGGGGATGGAAGAGTGTGACAAGTGTGTATGGGGCTGTGGGGATGCAGATAAAACACTCTTCAATCACTCATAGATGCACTTGAAATGAACACCACAAAATCCCGCATCTCTTGGAGGCTGGAAAATAAGAATCCCCTAGAATCTCCCAAAGATGCTTCTGACCAGTGCTTATTCCATCAGGGCCATTTGCAGCCTGGCCACTGCGATGTTGCTCGCCCACCGCACTACACCATCACCAGCATCATCGTGTGACTTAATACATGCTGCTATTCTGCCAGCTTCCACCTCCGCAGTCCATCATTGTGTAAACTACCTAACACCCGCTCCAACTGCAACTGCACCCGTGTGGCTCTCCCAACCCTCTCCCTGCCCCCGCATCTCAAGGGCAAGGACACGGGGCGAACACGAACGTGTTTGCCACGAACACGTTCGTGTTCGCCTGCGTCAGCAAGGTGATCGCCTTCACAGATGAACAGCAAACACCGTTTTTGGCTAAGGGCGTGTAACTTTTTCCGTTTTGGTCAAATGTCCAGACGGAGCCCCCAAATCGTCCGAACGGAGCCCCGTCCTGACGTTTGGGACTCAGGTCTGGACGACAGCCTGTCCGGACCACAAATGTGTTCGCCTCTTGCTCAAGCCTACTTCCTAAGGTTTTCCTGCAATACTCAGGTTTGTCAACTTATTAGGCAGTTCGTGATGGTTTAGCATTTCCTCTAGGTTGTTTTTTGTTTTTTTTGTTTTTTTTTTTTTTTCCCATTGAATTCCCTCAAGTCATCGCCTCACCCAGCCTCACATTCTCACTCTCATCTTCCCTCACTTGAAGTGAAATGGGTGTTTACCAGAGGGGTCTTGGGTGCAACGCAGAGGTAGAGTCCGATCTTGAGGTCAGTGTCGTAGGACAGCACCAGGTTGAGGCTGATGGGGAGAGCAAGGAAGTGAGGGAAGATGAGAGTGAGAATGTGAGGCTGGCTGAGGCGACGACTTGTGGGGATTCAATGGCTAAAAAAAAAAAAAAAAAAAAAAAAAAAAACCTAGAGGAAGTGCTTAACCATCACGAGCTGCCAAATAATAAGCTGACAAACCTCAGGAAGCACACACATTTACAAGCTTTGGGAAACAACGAGAACGAAGAACCTGCATAGTCGTGGACCCACAAAGTGTACCTCATGAAAGTGCTGAGCGCGATGTTGTATTTGGTGGCGATCGCGTCGCACGTGTCGCCAACCACTTACGTGTACGTTTGACCGCACTGCGGCACGGTGATTTGAAAGGTTGTTCCGGATTGGGGAGGGAAGGGTTGGATATTCAAACGTAAAACAGATTCATGCTTGGAGATTCGCAGATGCTAGCATGTACACTTCGTTGCACTCAGGCACAGCCGTACAGTTCAGAGTAGAGGGGAAGCGACGGCTTTCGTAGGTTTGCAAATGCGTGGTAGTATATTACGTGGTCATCTCAAAACAACCAATCAGCACTAAGAAGGAAAGCCACGAGCAGCCCTGGCAGCAGCATGGCCACTACAGTCATCTGAGCCATGGCTGATGGTACGGCAGGAACAGTGGAAGGAGTGGGGCAGGAGGAGCAGTCGAAGGAGTGGGGCAGCAGGAACAATGGAAGAGGGGGGGAGCAGGAGCAGTGGAAGGAGCGGGGCAGCAGGAACAGAGGATGGAAGGCGTGGGTAGGAGGGAACATGCAGTGCAGGAGGAAAAAGAAACAGCGGGGTCTGGATGCGATTAGGCTTTGGACAGTGCCAGACTGAGGATGCGGCATGCGATTCGAGCATACGGGAATGAGACTGCAGGCGAAAGGAGAAGCATCATATAAAGCAACGAGGCGTTAGCGAAACGTAGAGGCACGAGAGAGTGGCAGGCGAAGAGTGAAGGAGAGGTTGGCAAAGTGGCAGCAGGGTTGGCAAAGTGGCAGCAGGGCTGGCAAAGAGACAAGGCGGCAAGAAGAGATGATGCGGTCAGGCTGAGGTGCTGATACGGAGAGTGAGCTATGTGACGAAAGACGCGTCTAGTGTCTTAGACGGTTGCGACTAGACGCAGCGTCTAAGACGCTAGACGCATTTCCGGCTAGGTTAGACGCATATTAGACGAAAACCTAGGCAGGCCTAAAACAAATGTTCGGGCAGCCTAAAAAAACTTATGAGGGCCATGGGGAGGGTGGGGGACATGCACATATGGCACATTTGGGTCAAATTTTCACCGTACCAAAACTTTTCCCCATATTTAGAGTTCGCAATAATCCTCATTTCTCATCATACATAGTTAGGGAACCACGTCTCTCTAGTAGTAGCAAACACAAAGTAAACAGCTACTACTACATCCCTACAATCACAAGGCCTCCTCCTACCTCTCCTCCTCCTCCTCCTCCTCCTCCTCCTCCTCCTCCTCCTCCTCCTCCTCCTCCTCCTCCTCCTCCTCCTCCTCCTCCTGCCCCTCCCACTCATCGGTGGGAGGGTGTGCACATGTCACGAAATCGAATGATGCATCGAAATCGTGAAATTCAAATTCAGCCGCGCGATTTTTTTTTTCCGGGCTGACCGATTTTTTTTTACCCAAGCGTCCAGCGTCTAAACACGTGTCTAGCGTCTAGCATCTAGACGCTAGACGCAAGTCTTGCGTCTTCCGTCACATAGAGAGTGAGTGAACATTGGAAGGCTAGGATAAGGTTGAGGATGGGAAAGGAGGAGGACATTGGAAGAGGATGGATGGAAGGAGATATGCAAAACACCAGGAAGGACGCTTAAGAGAGAGTGGATACCCATAAGATGTTGCCTTCCTTGCGAGAGGAGTGCAGAGCGGAGGGTTGGATGGAGTTGAGTGGCGTGGAGTGGAGTAAAATGAAGAGTTTTGAGTGATTGGGAAGAAGAGAGCGCAATGTGGGGTAAAAGGTCCAGCATGTTGGAGAGAGAGATGCATGAGACGTTCAGAGTGCACCTTTCGGGTCTGGGGATCTCGAGCTTTTGTTCGCGATACGTCCGCGGACAAGCTTTCCTCCCGCGCTGTTCCGTGTGTCTTCCTACGCTTTGTTCCGGACGCGTCTGGTTGGCAGTTTTACCACCCTACCTCGCACCGTGTCCTTGCCTCTCAGGACGTCACCTTTGACGAGTCGGTACCCTTCTACCGCCTCTTCCCCTACCGC